ACTAATAGTCCTTAGACATTTGCAAAAAGTTAATTATGGAGAAAGTTATGAATGTTTGAATGTCAAAAACTCGCGTGTGCCCAAAAAACGGAACGACGGGACGGTTTTTTTCAAATATTGAACATCCGCAACATTTCAAATGCTTTTTTGAAAGGAAACTATTTGAATTTTCAAAATTTTGGTGTACGGTTCCATGACAGCGCTGACGAACAAAGATATAAGTTTTCAAATAAGGACGTAAATTACTACTGCATATCCAGTTTTCCGGCTTGTACAAAAAGGAGAAGGAAAAGGAGAAACGGGAACCAAGACTCGAGGGATCGAGAAAATGAAAACCAAGCCCACTTCTGCCTGATTCGAACTCCAACCTATCCATGATCGAGCTTGAAATGAAACAATGATCTCTTTCGTTCGAAAATTCGGAAGTTTTTCGATTTCCCCCATGAAATGGAGGATAAAATATGGCGTGTGAAGAAAATATTGTGTTATTTTTGGGATTTCTTCAGGAATAAAGAAGAGAAGCCATGTACACACTTCAACTTTATTGGACAAAGACGTTGAGACACACATAAATACACCGTAACACTAAAAAACACACATGTCCAATAGGGGGGGGGGTTCGCACTGATACCCCTCGACATGGAGGGGATCGCAAAAAATTTGGAATTTGCGCAACGCAGGGTTGACCCTGGTCGCAGATGAGCGCTCCTTCCGTAGCGTGACCCCAAACATCTTCGCCATATCCTTGTGAAATTATCATTTTTTTGCTTATCTAGATGGATTTTGAAATCCGAAATGTGCATCATTCGATTCCCCATAAAAATACTATTGAATGGTATACAAGACAGGTTGCACACGCAACCCTGTTTTTTTTCACCTCCCCCTCCTCCTTGCCAATCGTCATCCCAGCCCTTGGCGCCCACGTGCCATTCACGTGCGCCGCGTTGACCCGTTAACCTCCGCATTTCTCTCAATGGACCATTTCATTGATTACTACTCAAGCTCAATTACAATTCGAAAAAGGCATCATCGAATTTATTTCGCTCGACAACTTCAGAGCTAACCTAATGAACTCGCAGTGATGGAAGGCTGATTGGACTGGACGACGTGCGGTCGATTACCTGATCCGCAGGCCGTGCGTGTGGTGAACGTCGCTTCTTGCCACTCCGCTCAGCTACATATCATCAATAACGATAAAGGATGTTACCTATTATTAAGCGCTTCGTCTAGAGAAACTTGGAGAAACCGGGCAAAGTGTGGGATGGGTGGGCAAGGTCTCCCGAGGTACAAAAGAGACAGCAGCTGACTGCTTACAGTGGGGGAGGCGTGCACCGAATAAGTGGCACTGGCGACCAGGATTTTAGATACTACCTCAGAACAGCCTAGCCTGAAACAAAGTAGGTGAATGTGTGCATTGGTCGCCCAAATACAAGGAGACCCACTCCCGGTGGGCGGCGCGTTCTCCATTCAAACAGTGCTTAATGAAAAAAATTTATAACTTGGTTGGGAGAAGTAGCAGAGATAGCAGAAAAGAAATTGGTGCAGGGAAGCAATGTCCAAGGTAATCCCAGCATACATGACGAGGGTCTCGGCGAGGCTGGACTCTACCAGACTGTCCCATGCTCGATCCACCTATGGCTTTTGTCCTTCCCTTCTCCGTCCAACCCGTCGCCCGCTTTTTCCAGTCTCGGACTGCCTCTGGACCGACTTATAAATCTCGTGGTAAACTCTGCATCTTTCGCTGCATGTTCCACCTATTTTTTCTTCTACGGCAACCTCTCTCCACCTTTTGCTCGAACTCTGATACTGCCTGGAACCGATTTATGGATCTGGCAAGCACCGTCCACCTTGCTGCATGCCCATCTCATTAATAGCAGTTGACCTCCCTTCCGTTGGCGGACTCACTTCACTGTTTTCCCGGTCTCTAGGACTTGTTGGAACCGAGGTATGAATTTTTGTGGATAGCGCCGCCCCTCTGGTGCACGCTCCACCCACGTAGCAGTTGGCCTCTTTTCCGTTGACTCAGTTCACCTTTCTCCCGGTCTCCAGGACTTTTTGGAACCGAGTTAAGAATTTCCTTGCTTAATTGGAGAATGCGCTGCCTACCGGGTGATAGTGAGTGCAACGTGCACTATGAAGCCGTGAAGGCTGAAAAAGGAGCAGTGCTTAGTGACTACAGCGGCATCATTTACATTAATGGACCTCGGGACGTTTCAGAGAACTGGAGGTTCAGTTTTAGTCACTGAGAGTGTAGGACTAACCAACCCACTCGCCTAGCAATGCGTTTTGTGCAGGTAATGCGCGCTCTTGGAGGAAACACTCTATTAAAATACAAGTAATCGCGGTTGATTCTATGGCTATCAAACAAAGGAAGGCTCGTGAAGGTTTCACTGACGATATCCATTATTTTGATTGTTGTCACAATCATATAATCATTTGAATAATACCGCAACACTGAATCGAAGCCATGTGGAATAACTGAGAGTGTGCGTAGTCGGTGTTTATAGCCGTTGTGGGTGTTATACGATTCATGATCATCATAAGGAGACTATCGGCCTTTCCAATTCTTTTGCCTGTTGGTATTTCCCACTAGCTGTCTTCATTTCGTGGACGAACAGATCGCGTACCTTATCACAGACACACATACAGACAATTGACACAGATTGTGGTTTATAAAACAGTGGGCCAAGAGCAATAAAATAAAAGCAACCCTACTGTGGCGTCACACCTCTTCACCAGTTTTTTAATCAAAGTCTATTTGTAAGGGTTACTGACAGTCCTAATCATGAATATGCTACTGATTATTCATGCTATCTTCCGCGAATTCTGAAACGTCAACTCGAAATGCAAAAAATTTTCACCAATTTTCCACCGAATCGAACTGGGGACCCTATTTTCTGGTATCGGAGGACCGCTCAGGAAAAATGGACCATGGTTCTGTTGTTCCCACATATGCCTCTATATCATACAAAAGACCGTTTTCAAAAAGCTTGGCACGCCCTGAAAGACCTCCGTGGTAAGGGCTGGGAAGACGATCGGCAATGGGAAGAAAACAAAGTTACGTGTGCAACCTGTGTTGTACATCATTCGATAGCATTTTCTATGGGGATTCGAATGGTGCCAATTTCGGATTTCAAAGTCCATCTGGAGAGCAAAAAAAACTGATCAATCCACAAGAACATGGTGAACAGTGATGTTTGGGGCCACGCCACAGAAGGAACGCTCATCTGCGGCCAAATATTTAACATGGACAGTCTCCTACACATAAGTAACCGTAGTTCACGCCTGTAAAGAGAATTCCTCACTATCTTCCCAGGTTTCCACGAAACATCTCTTCTAAAAGTGGCGAATGTCACCTCATAGACCTACTACTACTGCTGGAAACTGATCGAAGATTCCAATTTGAAATGGAAGAATGGGGTGATGAGCGCGAAGACAACACGTGCAGCCAACCAGCGCTCTAGAACGAAGTAATGGTCGTGAAATTCGAAAAAAAAACATTCATTCAATCTTACAATATGGTAAGGTACCCGCCGATACAAAAATTAGTATCGGTATTGTACGAGGAAGGAAGGGGGAGAATCCACTTTCATCTAAGGTCTATATCAGTGCTGAGGTATTCTTTTAACGTGGTTAAACGCGATGTGATTGTGGCAACACCCGAAACGGCTATACATCTAAACACCGAATGAGCACAGTCTCGAGTACAACATGGTACAGCAGTGGCAGTTGGAGGACACGGGGGGAGGGGGCGACGGAGGAAAACAAGGCGCTAATAAAGTTGAGATTCAAATCAGTGTTGAGGCGTTATTTCAACGTGATGTTGTCATTCTGATAACACCCACAGAATGGATATCTCAAGTGGAGCGTTCCATAAACGTTTTCTTACCCCTGATAGCCGTGGTGTTACCCACGACTACTTTTTGCCGCTCTGGGAGTTTCTTCAAAGAGAGCTCACTATGCGCACAAAACGCTGAATTAGACGCACGGGATAGCCTTTGAAACTCAATGATAGAAGAAAAAATCCCTTTATTCTTAGCATTTATACAATTGGAGATCTGCGATCATCAATCGGCACTCTCCTTTCCTGCCTCCGCGCTCTCATAGAGGCTACATGACACTACCACCGCTCTTTGCATTGATAACGTCATAGAACCCGTTGATTTTTGGATATTTTGTGATCAATACTTTAAAAATAAAATGACTATGCTGTGTATTTTTATTTTGTGGCCTGGATTGTTTCTTCACTAGGGTGTCTCGCCTTTTCACAGGATAGGTGAAATACCTTCCTGAAGAAACGAGTCAACTGCGCGCTGCCTCAACATATTATCACTCTTTGAAGGCTTCTGCTTTGTCATTTCATTCCAGGCTTGACAATGGCGCTAGGCGCCGAGAGCTCGTCGAAAGACTTATTTATATTTTTTATTCATTCCCTAAACTTTTGCAAAAGGACGCACATGTAACCAGAAACCGCTGGTAGGTGAGGACCAAGCCCAAGAGAGGGGTGGAATGGAGAAGAAAAACTGCTGGCATGCTCTCCCGGAATCCCTTCCTCCCTCTCTTCCCTGAAGCTTGATCCAGGTACCGCTAGTGGCTCACTCACTTGAACGTCCCACCCCCCCCCCAAGACAGCTCCCGCAATTTCTTCGTACGTACGTGGTCCCATAATCTCTCTTATAAAAACTTTAGAGTATTTCGCAGCGAATACTTGAGGTCTCACATTCTTTATTACACATTTACCCTTCTTTTGTGTCAGTCAAGTTCTGCATAATTGACTGACATAAAAATAGACCTCATAGTGGGATTCACTGCTTTTACCCACTTAATCACCGTACTTAGTGTATTTATTGCACTAGTTCCTTGATGTTTGTGCTCGTCGCTGTGTCAACCTGGCTATGCTCTCAACTACATGCTTGCGTGTGATTAAAAAAAGTGAGAAAGAAACCGAATGGTAACGGAAAAAGGACACAGTCGATCTGCACGGTTCACAGTAAACAATGTTATTCTGGAGGAGAACTGGCGATGTCTACACGACTTACGTTGTATACTGTTCCGTCCACTTCGCTCAGTCTCACCATTCCGGAGTCGTTGTAAAAGTTCTTAAGTAGGTGCAAAACTACAATAATGTCAAGGGTTTCTACTGAGTGAAGTGTTTCTGTGAAGGATCGCACGTCCAAGATATCAGGTGCTGCATTGGTCCGACTGTAGTTTATACCCAAGTCGGATGCAATAAGTTTCATCTGAAATAAAATATGTAAATATATGTGTATTCATATGTACGCTATCTAGAATTGTAATGAATATCTTTCCTTTTCAACGACACTTTCAAAACGGCGGCAACACATACACGTGTAAGGCAGGGTCAACCGTCC